TTCAATATCGGAGGCGGACTATCTACGCCAGCGGGCCGACAAAGTGGATGATAAAAAAAAAATACGCGTGAGCGCGGGGACGTTTGCGAGATTCCATCGCGATGGGCATTGCGCAAAGTGTCGATTTCAAAAACGTGATAGCAATCCGGCCATAATTGGACCGACGTCATGCAGCGCTTTGCACTGTCCTCAGGGCTGTCTTTCCCCGTATTTTTCGGCAACCATTTCGCGGCTGTTTTTATCTATTGATAATATCGCCGGCGCACACTGCCATTACGAATCGCTCCGGCTAATTCTAACGCATTGCGGGGAAACTGGTGGTCGCGCGAACCGTAGACGCCAGTGATTTGAACGGCCCGTCTTGTCCGGACGATGCACACATCAAAATTGATACTGGGTGTCATGTAATACCCGCCTCTTATTTATGGATAGAGCGGCTTAGATTGAGTCGAAAAGTCCCCTACCATTTTGCAATTTTCGCAATAGTTAACGAGTTATTAATTAATAAAATCGATGTCTTAGCGCGGCCTACCGCGCAATTCAAGCTCGCGGTGAGACTCGGCCGTCCCGCGATCGGCATTGCTAGGCGCGCGGGGAATTGTTTATGACACACGGCAGGGGCTACGTATAGTAGGGTAAGCGAACTTATTTCGGAACACTTTTTAAAAAACTTGCTGTATCTTTTACATAAAATTTTCTAAAACAAATCTGATATATGCTAGTTAAGAAGTCATCCTTTAACTATTAATTAGGCATAAATTAATATTGGAAGAAGACTTTGTTTTTAAATGGCGGACAATCAATTCAAGTACTAAATTTGTTCCGAATTAGGTTCACCTGCACCTAATTCGGAACAGCTGTTTTCATATACAGCTGCATTTCGCAACAACATAGTTTCATAATTCAATTAAGCAACGATTATCTTCCTTGAACCTTTAACTGTTGTTTAAGTCCAAAATATAAGAGAACAAGCAAGTAATATAAGAGAAATATGAAATTATTGTACCTATATACTTTACCGTAACTCATCCCACTCAGAAGCGCCCTGTCATGACAACCAATAACAAAAATATACTATTGTCAATTATTTTCTGTATCTACTGCTCATTTCTTCACATCACAAACTTTATTTATGATGCTCTTTATCACCAGCATTAAAATTTGACATTACGTGACAGCTAACAGGAGCAAAATTAAAGTGTTCCGAAATAGGTGCTGTTCCGAAATAGATTCGCTTACCCTAAACAGGTTCCCGCGCGCCAAGCTATGTCAATCGTGGGACGCCGCGCGTTTGAAGTGGGCGGAAGGCCGGGTTAAGGTAGCGATTTTGAATAATTAATAACTCGTTAACTATTGCGAAAATTGCAAAATGGTGGGAACTTTTCGACCCAGTATAGTCCGCTCTATTTCATTCGCGAAATGTTCCTGATTATTCACGACTCCGCAAATCTTTTAGTCTACGTTCTTCGTCGCGCTTCACGTTAATCAGTTGTCTTCATTACAGCTGATGCAATCTGTCTACAGTTGGTAGCGGTCGGGAGTAACAAGTTACGTAAGCGTCCCGGAACATGATAGAGATGGTAGCAAACATTAGGCGCGTTTAATATTTACATGCGTCGAAATATGCTACAAACGAGAGAAAATGCTGAATATCGTACTTCAAATATTTCCGACCAATATCGATACTACAGATTTGCGTTGCAAAATTTTATCACCATTACCTGTTACACGCTGCTACATGCTGTATTTTACGAACAAATATAGAAACGGCGAATAACAATGCGATAAATATCGATGTATAACATTAACTAGTAATGCGTGGATGGATCCGAGTAAATTTTTTATTCGGTTTGAGATCAATAAAATTATTATCAAAATCTTTTTCGTGTCTCCTCCCCTGTGTTTTTCTGCTTACTACTTTTCGCAATTTGCAATTTCTACCTTACATTTACAAAATGTATGTTAAGCAAAATATATAGATTCGAATTGCACCGCTAAGTAAATGTAAGAATAGTTTAAATGAGGAATTGCCCTCGTATAATCGACGATTTCATCATACGAAAGTACGCAAATATTCACGGTGTATTTGGAGTCCAGAATTGGATGTGTGCTTAGTCTATCGCTACGATATAGTTTGTAAAAGGGGACATGTTATTATTTTGTCTAATAATAAAGAGATGAAGGTAGTCGCTCCTAAAAAACATGATGAAGCACTCAAATTATTAATTTTATAACTAAATTTATTTTGTCCTCGTATTGTACCTAGAATAATTAATGCAAATATACACCAGTCTCTCTCTCTCTCTCTCTCTCTCTCTCGCTTTCATAATAGAAATGGATAAGCATATAATGTAATTCTGTTTTCGGATCAATTATCAAATTCATTTCTATGAAAGAGTATAAAGCGCGATATATACATCTCCAATTTCGTACAGTAATAACGATGATTTATTAATTTTAATTATTAACATCACATTGCATTTGCCAAATTGTAAACTGCAAAATAGCTATTGTTCCCGGCAAATAATAGCGAACGTATAAATTGCATATTTTCGAAAAGAACTTGTATATAGTCGAGAGAGAGAGGGGGGGGGGGAGGAGGAGATAAAATATAAAGAAGGGAATATATTTTATACGCCCTATTGATGTATTGGTGTTTGCGACGTTCCAGCCTTATCTTTGTTGCGCGATATGTAAGGGCTGGTTTAGTCGGCTCCGTGTCTCGACGAATGTATATCCGTCGGAGGGATGCAATTTTACGTTCCTCGCAGAGGACAAAAGCCGCCATCGACCATCGGCCCCCTCGGCGATATTCTTCCCAGCCTCGCAAGCGAAAAGAAGTGCCCGCGAGATGAACTTTTCGTTATAATAGAGCCGTCGAAAGGGTTCGGGGTGGGGGCGGGGTGGAACTGTGACAACAAGTGGCGTCGTAACGAGCTTTTTATAGCGGCTGTGCGTGTGTATGTGTGCCAGTCGTCTCTCCCGTGTGTAAAAACGTGACTTTCTCGAGCGCGTGCCAGGCGAGCTGACTCGCGCCTTCTTGACCCGCGAAAACAGCTTTTGGCGTTGTTTACCGTGGAGTTGCGCAACGAGGCCGACCTGTCGCGTATAGCGGGGCGGTAAATTGGGTTATCACCGCGGGATCGGTACAAGTATTAACAACTCTTTCGAGCAAGAAACCTAACCAGCCCCCCCAAGCTTCGCGATAATCGCCGCCATTAGCGTGCGGGCTCGCTCTCGGACCACCAGCGGCTACGACACACTGCGGTTTTTCGCCTTTGGAAAGCGATCGAAAATATTTTCGTACAAATGGCTCGCGCGCGAACGGAACGTTTTTACCGAAGCGCTACTTGTGTGCACTTGCGGATAACGCAAAACGACAAGTGTTGATAAAAAGTAACGAGAGCTTTGGAAGATCCGATATCATTTCATGTATAAATTCACGTTGTCACGGGAAATACATGTAACGTTCGCCCGCGTACGACATACTTTTTTTTTTATTCCATACATTTCACGAAGTGACGCGAGCCAAAATTATATTCTTGCAAGGGAGTAATTATCACGACTGTATTGCAATTACATTGAAATAAATGAGCTCCTCTAGATAAGAGCATTCGTAAATGCGGGCTTGTAACCCGCTTTTGATTCGTTAATCAATAAATGATCATAGGTAATTTAATTCCCCATTCGCAGCAATAACGAGATATCTGACCATTTATTGATTAACGAATCCAAACCGAAATTTTCGGCTCAATTTACAAGCCCGCTTTATCGATGGCGAATAACGTCAGAAAAATGCCGATGTGAAATAACGCAATGGAGAGCAGCGAAATGCGCGGAGGTCAAATCTCGTCTTGTCCTTACGTAACCGAGGCCGCGGTAAGAAATTCAAAGTGGACGCCATCGCGCGGCATCGCCCTATTCATTATTTACCGTTAAACCGTGCAGATACGCGCGCAACTTTCAGAATTGCAAATTTTAAATACAAACAAAATCATAAAATAAAACGCGGAAAGCCGAAGCGGGAGCTAATAGTTATTCTGTTCAAACGAAGCCGCGTGTTTCAACGATATTTTCCCTCTCGCGGCTGTGGAGAACATATTTCTACGTGCGCACAAATGTGCATGTACATTTGTTGTATATTGACGTTCTAAAAGTTGCATTTCAATTACATGTTGCCGGAAAACAGACAATTTAATTAAATCACCAGCGCCGCGGTTGTTCCGCTGATGCGCGATACCATCGCGATGTATCGCGAGGTATAATTTCGCGGGATGGACAGATGCATTCTTCTGCACGAAACGGAAATATTTTCACGAAGGCGAGCTCGCCCGAATCCCGCGGGAGGAACACCAGTTAACAATCCGTACGGCATGGATCATCGTCTACGTCCATCACGATAGGAAACCGTGACAGTATAAGGGTGCCGGGGTGACAATCAAAGTTAGGCCGGATATCGACGGGCGATCCATAAATAAGCTCTTTTTTTTTACGCGAGTGGGTGACGGCGATTGCTTTCGGCACTTTATCGGATATATTGTCTGGCAGCATGCGGGCACCGAACCGACAAATCCGGCTGAGAAATGACATTTGAATTATTCGCATTCGATATTTCGCTGTGTGTGTGTGTTTTTTTTTCTTTTCCAAAGCACCATGGACCTTGCCGCAAGGAAATTACATTTTGCCAAACAACGAAAATATTCCCGGGACAAATAGGGCCCGTCACGTTGAACGGTTTACATTGACGACAATACGAGCATATAACGTCATAAAGGAGAATTGCATTTCAATTTTTTTTTTCAACGGAAATCGAAAAGTAAACGACGTGTGCATATTGCGGCATATTGTCGGCAATGCTTCCGATATTATTGTATAGTAATACAGTAGTGCATAACCGCCGCATAACCGATGCTTTACGTTTATCGTCATAGATTTCATACGACGTGGCCGCTACGTTTTTCGAAACGTTCTAATAAGTTCGAGTGAAAACTTTAGCGTACCTGCTTGCAGCCCCGCTCAAACATGGCCCGGATAATCACCTGGAATGACAGAAAAGGGAAACGTTAGTAAGGGAAAATTAAAAAATACTTTTCGGGACGTATTATTTCAATATCTCCCGTGAAATTGTGAGACGACACGACAGTTGCGCGTCACATCTTTCTGCATTTACATGTATAAATGCGAAGTACTCTAATTATAATACCTTTGCCGACGACTCGTCCTCATCAGCTTACGTATAAAGCTTTCATAATCGGCGGATAAAAAAAGGGTGAATATTAGCAGAATATCGGATATTTCAGCAAGGAATATTGAGGTACCATCCTCTCGTAAATATGAGAAAAAACGCATTTCGTTTTACATGCAAATCGCAATTTCAATGCCTCTGAAATGCAAGCTACTGTGTGTGTGCGACACAGTAATCTATAGTATACAAAAAACTAACTCTTTCCCGTCTTCCCACTTTCTTCCCACTATTATCATCGAAAGAGGATTTTGGGTACTTGGGCGACTCTCAGTCAAGAATTTATTATAATCGCATTCTCAGCGTCTTAGGGCTGCAAAATATCAGTTCTAACGGGGTCCCGATTGAAACTCCGGGAACATTTGCCTCGTTGCCGAACTTGGAAGCCAATCGTCGCAGATAAATCGGATTTTGCAGTTGACGGTTCCCTTAATTACCTCATCCGTCGCCTCAATAGTCTAACGTTTCCGTAATAAAGCGCATCCAAGTTTCTCGCGATGCGACACACATCTAATCTGTATTAATGAAGCGGTAACAATTGTTTAAATCTGCCCTTTCTTCATTTCGCTTCAAATCGCCCACAAACAAAACAGCTAAATCTTTCAGTATTCGCCAACTATGCAATTATAGTTTCAAATGCTACGTATTTTTCTCTCAACGTGTGACTGGTGAAAAAAATCCGCCGTGCAGTTACTCTTATATCTTTCAATTCTAATTCTTTTCACACGCATATTCTTATCCTTACCGAGTCGGCGCGCGACGTACCGTCGCGAGTGAGAAAAGCAGTTCTTCGCCGTTATAATCGAGCTGCGGGAGAAGCCGGGAGTGCTCGCCAACCGTTCTTACATTACTCGCTCATCGTATGCGTGCGGGGGAAAATAGGTTGGACTTAAATAGCGAGTTCCTCGCTTTCTACCCCCGGCGGCTTTGCACGCACGCCCATGCAAATTTTAAAATCTGTATTTCAGAATGAACGTGCCAACACCCGAAATGGCGTTTTATAACAACGGGGAATATCCAGTTGATACTCGGTGTACTTTGCGTAATTACGAAAGCCGTGTACACCGGCGGCGTGTGGGAATTCACCGCTTTACATAATGGAGCGTTAATTCGGTGAACGAGTGACCGAGTACCGCACGCACTCAGTTTCACAAACTTGGCAAAAACGAGGGAGGGGGGCGGGGAGGAAAGAGTGAAAAAAAAAGAAGGTAAAATGGGGGATAATTGCGCTTGTAATGGGAATTTTCGTACCTCCGCTTGATAATTCGCTCAAATGGAACGAATGGACGCGAGAAACGTAAATTAATCCGCCACCGTGGCAATAGTCGTGAGAAATTGCGACGCCATCCATTATGGCGGAAGTTCGCCACCGCGTCGGCGAATTTTGTGGAGATTCTAGGCAGTTTCGGGAGAGAAATGTTGCTTAGAGCAACGCCGCGATACGGAAAACGTGCTCTATCGCGTGCTCCCCTCGCATTTTCAAATCCGGCCCGCTCGCGTGTGCGTTTTCCGTAAATGACAGACAACGGTGACACGTGTATTTTAGGATTAGTGTTCTCGCGTGCGGCACTCTGTCTCCGCCAGCCAGGAAGAACATAAGCCCCGTGGCACACATTCTGGCACGTACGTTTCCTTCGTTGACCGCAATAAGGGTACGCGCCGTCATAACTCCAAGATGTATAGAAAAGTTTACGTTCCGATGAGCACGTTGGGCGGAACCGGGTGTAACTATTGTCTACGTAATCAGACCGAGTTTGCGCAGGTACGTCCTGATCGTCAATCGTGATGGCTTACAGGTAGACGGTGGAAGTTACATAATTATATTCAGAACTCAAATGTCATTATATATATATTACAAGGAATGAAGTTTGTTAGCCAAGAAGGGATCGAAATACTCCGACGTCGCAAGTAGAATAGTTAATTATCTCCGCGACAAGGACGAGCATGCATATTCAGAGACTGGATCGTGACCTTCTTTACATAAAATTATGGCGTATAAATGATCCTTTTTAGATACGAGGAGGCGGTACAAAGGAACGTATCAAGCCAGATTGACAATAGATAATATCTGTACAATTTAGACTGATGTACGCTACGTAATTGATCGTATGACAGAGTCGTCTGAAATAAATCAACGTAGTCTAGATCTCGCCAACAATACCGCAGATACAATCGGAGCAAGATAAATTACATCGGAGCAAGCTCGAGCAAGCGGAGAAGCGGAGCAGCAGTTAAGGGACGTACTTGAAGGAAAAAAATATCAATATACCCCGCCGGAATTATGGACTCGGACAAAGGAAGATTATAATATGCAATGCGCGGGAGACGCATGGCGGCTTCTCTTTTTGGATTAAGAAATAAAAGTCACTCGCGGCGCAAGATTTACAATGCTCGTTCTCTATTCCCGTGCATTATTGCAATTCTCTCTTGTCACGGCGCGGGAATATGCAAAAGTAACTTCCACGGGCGCGATAAGGTTCTTCTGCACGGGCTCCCGGACTTCCTCCGCCGGAAGTACGTTATTTCGAGAAAAGTGCCCGTCTCGCGACCACCTTCCGCGCGGCAGCGCGCAAGCTCGCTCGCTCGCGCGACGGCACGCCGCGGCGAGCGAGGCGTAAACGCCGAGAATGCCGGGTGTAATAAGGAGTCGCGACGCGGGGAATCCAGCCAGGATTCACGTCACCGAGGTGCCGCGGGTTCGCGCACGCGTTCGCAGAAACACTCGGCGAACTGTCTACCCGCCTAACGGTGCGCGCGGGCCGCGGGGCCCAATTTCGTCTCGTGCTCGGAATGTCGATCACGCCGGAGTTTTCGCCCGACACGCCTGCGCGAATAGTTTGCACAATGCAGCCCGTAGTCTCGAAACTACGGATTGCAAAGCGATATTTATTATCCCCCCACCCCCTCCCCCAACCCCCGTCTCTCCTCGACCTCGGCGCACTAACCGGAATTGCAGTGGTGCATGTATGCGCCGCCACGGCGAATCGATGTCTTTCGTTTTGCTCCGCAGCACGACGTCTTTGAAAAGATGTGGCCGAGTTTCCAGATCGTATCTGTCGGACGCCCTACTATCGCCGGCCTATATTTCGCAGCGCGCAGATTGATATCTTAATTAACGGTTACACGAAAATCTCGTGCCCCTCTCTATTAGCCGAGGCAAGTCAACGAATTTCCGCTGCAAAATCCGTCTCGACTTGCGCGAAGTGAAAAATGTCACTTCTTGATATACGTTTTAAACGCGGATTATTAACGATGCTGAGAAGGTAAAATATTAAAAGTGTAAAGCACTTGTTAAAAACGTGAATTTACAAAAATTATAAATATGAGTTCGGAGGAGGTTATTTTTGAACGCAAGACTAACGCGGAAAGAAAAATGTAGCTACCGCGGCTAAAAACTGCGCGTGGCAACTGAATTTCAGTTGTAAAATACGTACGGCTAATATTTAGTTGTGGTAGCTAAATATTCCGCTACCGTGTCTATCAGCGTTAGGCGCGACAGCAAACCGTTTGCCACACCCTCGGAAAGGATTTCTGTTAGCGAGACAAAAATATTCTTGACGCATTTACATTTCTCACTCATTTAGTATGATATCAAGATAAAATCAATAATTCTTCAGTTAAAAAGATTGCCTTATTATATTGAGACAAAAGTAATTTATATAAATGTAAGTTTATACAGGGTGTTATGTAATACCCGCCTCACCTCTTTATTTACAGATAGAGCGGATTAGATTGAGTCGAAAAGTCTTGTACCATTTTGCAATTTTCCCAATGGTTAACGAATTATTAATTATTAAAGTCGCTGTCTTAGCCCGGCCTTAGATAATCGGCGTTGCTAGGCGCTCGGGGAGTTGTTTATGACACGCGGCAACGGCCACGTATAATAAACAACTCCCCGCGCGCCAATCGCGGGACGGCCGCGTCTCGTCGCGCGCTTGAATTGGGCAGTGGGCCGGGCTAAGATAGTGATTTTTAATAATAAATAACTCGTTAACTATCAAACTAAAATCAATAATTTTTATTCCCCGCTGTCGAATTAAAAAAAGATTGATTTACTATATTGAGACAAGAGTAACTTAAATAAATATAAGTTTTTACAGTGTTATGTAAGACCGTCTCACCTCTTATTTACAGATAGAGCGGATTAGACCGAGTCGAAAAGTCCTCTACCATTTTGCAATTTTCCCAATGGTTAACGAATTATTAATTATTAAAGTCGCTGTCTTAGCCCGGCCTACCGCCCAATTCAAGCGCGCGGCGAGATGCGGCCGTCCCGCGATCGGCGTTGCTAGGCGCGCACGGCGAGATGCGACCGTCCCGCGATCGGCGTTGCTAGGCGCGCGCGGAAGACAGTGATTTTTAATAATTAATAACTCGTTAACTATTGCGAAAATTGCAAAATGGTAGAGGACTTTTCGACCCAGTCCAGTCCGCTCTATCCGCAAATAAGAGGTGAGGCAGGTATTACATAACACCCTGTATATTCATGCAAACATCCTATCTGTTCCTACTCATCGTACGTCTAAATTTCAAGCTGCTTTTTCCTATACTGCAGTAAAATATTACAACCAACTTTCTCCTTCCATTATATCTTCACCCTCTCTCTCCTCTTTTCGACTGGCAGCGGCTTCTTTTATTGCTCACCATCTAGAAGCTTAACGAAACGAGGCTAGATGCGATTCACTAATCAAAGTATTCAGGGATGTCAAACCGTCATGAACTATTACATTGTAAACTGTAGAAATTTGATTTTGCGTTAAACGATAAACCTTTCATTTTATATTTCTATATACTATA